GCCAAAATTCAAAACAGAAACAAATCGTTCCTATGGTAAGAAAGTTATTTACAATTGGAAAATATCAAAGACAGTTGGTCTTTCCAAACAATTCTTTAAAAAACAACACCCTTTGCTGATTACATAGCTCATATCTCTTATCTTTCCAAGAAAAAATATATATATTGGTAAATTGATAGTGATATTAGATTTTTTTTGTTGGGTTTTTTGGTTTTGTTGGGGCACATTAATGGCACACCTCAGGGTCCTTTCTTCTTTTGCATTTCCACACTGACTGCCACGATAACCACAATGATCACCACTGCTATAGAAAAACCAATAATGAGCCATATTGTGGTAGGTTTCCTCCAATCTAAAAAACAAAAAAGAAAAATGAGGGTAAGAAGTTATCTTTGATCATTCGCAATTAAAAGCGTGTTGTCACATGTTAGTACATATGTTTCCAGCTGGGGGGCTGGAGGCTATGAATGCACACATGGGGAGAGCATCAAACACCATACAGAAATGCCCCAGTGACCAGTGGAGTCAAATCCAGGAGCCTGTTGCTGTGAGGCAACAATGCTAACCACTGGGCCACTGTGTTGCCGTATAGTAAACTGGCATTGAAGTAATTTTTTTTTTTCACAGGAATAAATCATTTTCACAATACAGTGGAACCCCGACTTACGAATGCACCATTTCACGAAAAATTAAAGTTACGAAGGCACTGAACGGCAATATTTTTGCCCGTGTTACGGCAAAATGACGAAATAACGAAATCCGCTGGCTCTGATTGGCTGAGCCTACAATGTCCACAATTTCTTCCGAATCATGTGACAACCTCTTGGCTTCCGTACTTGCGCTTCGCTGTTCCACTTGAACGACGTATTGTTGTTCTAGTTAGCATTTAGCCTATAGCCTATCGCTCAGCATCGCCTCACTCAAAACGCGCAATGGGTGCTTCGACTTACGAAGATTTTCAACTTACGAAAGACCCTCGGGAACGAATTAATTTCGTAAGTTGGGGTTCCACAGTACTAAATTACATGAAAAATTATGTGATTTTTGTTTTCAGATAGCAAAAAGATGCACTTTAGCTCTAAAACAAACTAATCAAACTTTTCTTTTGAAAATACGGACTTATTAGGGAAGCTGAATGAACGTAAGAGTCTCACGTACAATTTTGGAAGCCTTGCAATGATGAGGTCTGGAAGAAAGAAAGAAAAAAAAACAAATAAGGAGCAATACCTTTATTGAAAATACCAAACCACATACATCAGTTATTGCATGTATGCCCATTAATAAATCAGTAAGTGAAATCCTTACCTGGTGATTTGGAGATCTAAGAGTTCTCCGGATGTCATTCCACATGGTATTATTGAGGTCACAGTCAAGCAGTTGGTCCTCATAAAACAGACAATCCACAGTCAAATGCACATTTGAGTTGTTCACCTGACTCCGGCTTTTAGCTACAACATGTTGTGGATTGTAGGTGTGATGCATCACCACCAGAATTGCACGTTTACCCACTATAAACAAAGACACAACATGATCAGATGATTCAGAAAAGAGATTAAATAAATGGGCTGGGTTACTAGATCTTGAATTCATGCTGTAGGACATAAACACCACATGTGGTTCTTGGCCTGTATCCTACATGTGTCCCTGTATATAAATCACTTAAATTATTTATAAAAAATCACTTTTATTTTTCCTTACATGGTATTTTGTCGAGGGCCTCAGCAATGTCTGTCCCAACTCGTGAAACCACAGGACAGAAAATCACACAGTAGTCACTTTCTTGTGTAGATGTTTCCTCAGTTTGGCCAATGTCTTTAAGCTTCTGAACAATTGAACGATGAGCGCCATTTGTTCTTCCGGCCAATATGACACGGAAAACTTTCCACGACCCTAAAGATAGATTTAACAATATATAACAGTTTTCTGAAACTGAAGACAAAACACCAAAGCTTTTCTTTTTTGTCACCATACTTAATTAATATGCAACTGATTTCATATATACAGCAAATGCAGCTTGATCATGACACTGAGTGAATCAGTGTTATTTTCATTTGAGGCTAAACTAATAGATATAAATTACGGACGCCTTGTGAGCCATTCAAAATTATCAAGTAGCTTTCTGTGTAGAAATGACTACAGTCAATGGAAGCCAAGGAAATAATCACAACTTACTATCTCTGAAGAGAAAAGACTGAACATTTGACCTAGATGTTTCATTTCTAACCTGTTGGGTAAGTGCACAAGAATCTGAACTATCAATAGGAAAGTTAGCATTACAACAGAAAGTAAAACGAAGTTAAAAAGTCTGGGTTTTCTTTCTTGTCTCACCCTATGTATTAAATAAATATCTGACCTATTGCAACATTTTCTTCATCACTAATGGAAGTTTTATTTGATTATAATTAGTCTTTTACTCTATAAGCTGATTGTAAACCAGCTATCCCAGGCAAATTTTGTATTGCTCTTATACTAGTCTTGCTTTAACAAGTAAAAAAGAAGTCAGTGATACTTATCTGACAAGATATATTTTAGGATGACTGATATGGGTGACTTGAAATTATTACTCATTCAATAAGTAAATGCAGCTTATTCACCTTAATATTGACATATTTAATGGAAATATTAAAAAATAAAGCAAAATTATTCTCTCACCATTTCCCTGGTCCATGTCTCTGAGGAAGGATAAAGAATTAGAAAGCAAACTTTAGTTGAAATTAACTAAATCAAATATAGTCAAATAACAGGAGGTGCAGATCCATTAACTGAATGCATTATACATTTTCTTTACTAAAAGCTGTGCTTTTACTGGCTTAGAAGACAAACTTTAAAAATAGATTACGGGTGTAACTTGTACTCTGATGCAAGACATTTACATTTTGCAGACTAAAGTTACTTACATAGAGATTACAATTTCTTGACTTGTTTTGAAACAGAAATTCCTTCCCAATGGAAAAAAAAGAACTCTAGTGTCTCCCCATGCAATGAAGTGCTGTCGGTTGTTCTTTGAGAATTAACTTGTTCACCAGTCGAAAACAAAACTGGACAGGCAGGTAAAAGAATGTTAACGTCAGTGTGACTCAATGGACTAAAAGGATATGCAGCTACAGGTGGTGATGAGACGGCCTCAATGTGGCCAATCCCTTTAAGCTGTTGAAGAACTGAACAATGAACCCCAAAATGAAGTAGAACAGTCTCACAGACCAATCACGTTCAGTTTAACTTATCCCATGTGACACTACTCAGCTAATCAGGTCATTTCTACACATGAAGACGAGAAGCTGACAGAAGAAGTTAGAGAGAGAACAGACTGGTTAAAGCTTTATTTCATTTGCCTTCCTATGTAGGCCTATGCTACATTAGTTTAATGGTCACAATGGTGGAATTTCAAGGGCCAAATATTTTCTGAGGTGGTGCTCATTGTGAAACATTTCAGAACCACTTGTGTGAAATGATTTCCCTAACTCTTCCCAAGCCATTGTTAATATAAACGGATTAAATAAATAAAATAAAATCTTGTCAAAAAAGTAATGCGTAATATCTGGTATTTGAAAGATCATCTCTGTGTAAATGAATATGAACATTATGCTATAAATGTTGGAGGACTTTTGGATTGTTTGTTAAAAGTTTACCACAGCCTGTGAAAACTGTGAACCAGTGATTGTGCTATAGATAACATTTGGCAGCTGGAGGGGCCCCACCAGTCTGTGCACTGGTCCATGACTGGAAATTTGTTGTTGAGTTAAAACAAGGTGTGCCTTTTTGCCTTACTGTATAGGTATAATTTATTATTATTATAAAAATAACTACAACCATTAGAATTACCAGTTATCATTAGTTTTGATTAATTTTTTACTCTTTAACCTGTGAAACAACTATATAAACCATTTTTATATAAGGCAGCTATGAATGACTATGAGGCTATTTTTGAACATTTAACACACTGAAATGAATGTAGCAGGTACGGTCGGCAGTTATTATGTTCTCTGTCTATTAGTGAATTATCTATTACCTTTCCTGTCTACTTTAAGCTGACATTATTATTCACATGTCTTTTAGATTTATCCTGAGTCTCCACAGACTCGTCATATAACTGTGAAATATTAACTTAATCAAATGCTAGTTGCTACCTCTGTCTGTCTACTGTATGAATCTGTCAGGTATGAATAGTGATTACAAATTATTATTGTAACCGCTTTTCTTACCTTTTGACTCCTCAATGTCACTGAACAATGGTAAAGAATGAGGCGTTAACCTTTACTCCAAATTGTCATGTGGGTCATTATCAACAGGGATTTCGAGGAACATCTTTGGTTTTAGACCTGAAGAAGCTTCTCGAATGAGAGGTGAAACATCATCAAGAAACTTGAAGAAGTCTCTTTTCTTTCCAAGCTCCTTAGATTACCATGGCCTGTATGACTGAGAACCGACGTGGACATCAAAAGAGCTCTTAATATGGCTCTTGTTTTCTTTCTTTTCAGAAAGTTAAATTGCAGAAAGTTGAACCACACACTAATATGCTCCTTTAAGTTCACGTCTCAGTATTTATTAAAAAAAAACAATGGTCGGGGGCGGGGCAACTCCTTAAATGACAGTCTCTGGTTTTGTTGTGTTCCACACAATGAGTGTGTAAATATTAATTCAAGAGTTTAAGCGAAAATAGAATTCTAGAGAAAGAATTAATGAACTGAAAAGAAGCACAACAACCTGTAAACTTGAACTATATCTACTTGTTGAAATTTGTTAAATCAGAAACAGTTTTTAATGTCACTTAATAAAGAATGTCTTTTAATTCAGTATGAACAAAAGCCACAAATGACACCAAGATATCCATTCAATAAATTCGTTATTTTAAAATACATAAGCATGTCTGCAATAACTGGGAAAGAAATGGTTTTGTTTTCTTAAAGCTCACTTTTCAGTCTTGACTTGACATCTGGACATGTGAGTAAAGCAATATTTCATCTTTAGCATACCAATGATCAAAAGATTCATCCCTAAAACATCTATACCAGCTTTCATAACTATAATACATAACTAACACATCTTTAATGATTACAAAGGCATGATATATTACATATATTTTGTTTTATATACAGTATCAAGAAAACATACTGTGATATTGTTAAATTATTGCTTTTGGATTTTGTTTTGCAGTCCTCATTTCCCACTTTTATTTCTCTTCCATATTTTGGAGCTGAATGATGTCACAACTGCCATCAGCAAAGGAACAATCAATCCAGCAATCTGTACCAGAGGATTCAAGCCTAAAATTAAGAAAAATAAAGACAAAAAGAGCAATAAGTCACAGCGGACCATAGTTATGGTAGAGAGAGTTTCTGAGACACATAAATCATCCATATGTCTGCAGTAGCTGGTTTCCGAAAACTGAAAGTACTAAGTACTTTTACAAGTGTGTAACTGACTCAAGTGACCTGTAAGACTAGTTCTGAGTAGAGTGACATTTGTGCTTGCTCATCACTACATTCTGATTACATTGTAAACAGGCTGAGTGATTTCTACAGAACATGTTATTATATGTTTTAGGATACACCACCAACAAAGCTAAAACGTATACAGTGATACTTACAAGGTCTGATTTTTTTCCAGATGGGGCTACCTAAACCTAAAAGTAAAATGAAAACAGAAGAGTAACTCGTCTGTTATTTTTACCACTCACACACAAGTGACAGAATGTAGGAGGTAAATAAAGCTTTAGGCATAGTCATGTATGCTTTCCTTTATCTCTTTTTTTATCAATTCATGAACAAAATAGATATAAACACTAGTACAATATTAAATAACCTCATTATTTAGAGGGAGAAACCAAAGTGATCAAAAAAAATATTCTTTTTATTTTGGTGAAATACCAAGATCTAGATGTTATTCTACCCCAGAAGGTTGATTCTGTTCATCTGGACATATCATTTTCAGTGGGAGAAACATTTCATCACCCATCCAAGTGACTTCTTCAGTCTCAGCTCACTGCTGGTTTCCCCAACTTTATAAACAGTACATTCACACAATGACTGCAAATGTGCTGTTTATAAGGTTGGGGAATCAACCTTTTGGGATTTACTTACCAGGATGGTTGAGCATACATCAAGAAATTCTATTCTACCATGCTAGCTTATGTGTGAATTAGACTTGTACAGGAATTTTACATTGCAACTGGAAAGTCATTTTAATTCAGTGCCGTCACCTTCCACACAACCTGATGTGCACATCCGCAAAAATGTTACTACACTTCAGGTAGATGTGGTTGGCAGTGACTTAAAAGGTGTGGAAAGTTGCAGCATACAGGCTTTCCGGTTATGCTGTGACTTAGGACACATTGGGATATTTGTTCTAAAAACTGTACCTTTTTGGAGATAAAAGATGAAGAAATGAATAAGGATAAAAATTATTAATAATTATACTTACACACGAATATATTCCAGATACTGGAGCAACCTAAAACACAATAAAATGATGTTAAGGTAATGCTAACACAGTTAATACTTACAAAGTTCAAATATGTTTCAGGCAGGGCTACATAAACAAATAAAAACAGAGCAATAAGTTGTCTGGTATATTTTGCTACTGAAACACATCTTGTAAGATAATTATACCATTGTCATTTTTGGGTTTTTTTTTTCTTTTTGCTCATTTGTTTTGTTTTTATTTTATTTCAACCCAGTGGATGCAACAGAAATATTGAGCATTATCTATATTACAATCTTATAGAACATAACAAGAGATATTTGCTCTTAACACTGTATATTAGAACATAAAATTACTTATTTATATTTTTAATGTTTTAGTATGAAATATGCTAAAAATGAAAATAAGATTAAAAAAAAATGCAGTCATACTTACAAAGTCCAAATATTTTCCAGATGAAGAAACCTAAAACTGAATTAAACAATATTGTGCTCATTAAATAAATCTTTGATCATAGTCATATACGCTTTTCTTTTACTTTTTTTTCATCATTGAATAAACACATTATTTAGAGGGAGAAACCAAAGTGATCACAACCAAAAACTTGTGGAAAAGCAGAACAACATGTAGACCTTATACTACCATGCTAACTTATGTATGATCTAGACTTCTGCAGGAAATTTACATTGTAACTAGCGATGTTACCAGAATGGCCTTTTAACCCTGTGCCGTCACCTTCCACATAACCTGATGTGCATATTCCAAGAAATGTTACTGCACGTCAGCTCGATGCAGTCGGCAACAACTTGAATGGGATGGAAGCATGGGCTTAAAAGGGCTTTCTGGTTAGGTTGTGAGTTAGAACACATTGGGATATATCTAAAAGCTGTACCTTTACAATATATTAACCTAAAACACCAACAAATGATGTTTTAGGAAACAACTAAAAAATAAGCAAAAACTAGTACAGTCATATTTGCATAGTCCAAATATTTTTCAGATGAAGCTACCTAAACCTCAAATAGGGGAAAAAGAGAGCATTAATTTGTACAGTATCTTTTACTACTCAAACACAACTGATGTGCCTTATGCATAGGTACTTTTAATTACGCCATGGCTAGACATTACTTAGATTTTCATTAACGTAGCTCATTTATGATACAAACCATTGGAAATGACCAGAACCATCTTTCAATACGAAGACACACAAAGGAGTTTTGACTAGTTAGGCTTTATGGATTAATACATTTCAGGCCACTAAATATCCTACATGTTTTTCTTTTCTGACTTGGATTCAGCTTGGTGAATGTTTTTCAGTTTGGTGTTTATTTTGCACAGAGCACTGCAAGAGACATTGGAAAAAAAATGGAAAAAAAGATATACTATTGGGAGATGGTGACAAAACTTTTTTCTCCAGGTCAGAGTATGCCTTGCGGTGAGTGTGTCCCCTCTTCAGATGTCTCTCACTTATATAAAAACTGTGTTTACTGCAAAGCACTGATTTAATGTGTTCATAGTTTAGGTCAATCTCAAAATAAAAATGTATGAATCTCTCCTACGGGTGTGTCTCTTCCATCACTATGGTTGTTTTCAAGGTCTCAGTACTGACGTGGAAGAGCAAGGACTAAGTTAGTTAGTTGTAAGTAAGCTATTAAGACTCGACTGTGTTGGTTTTCCTCCGAAACAATAAGTTCCGTTGGAGCAGCCTTTCAATGCATCTCTCTGTCTCTCGCTAGCAAAGTTGATTCAGACAACAAAGAAAAGCTAGTTTTCGGTTACGAACCCAACACGGAACCCGACACGGAACCCGACACGGAACCCGACACGGAACCCGACGTATTAGCCAGAGATACCTTTACTACAGTTCGGAGCCGCGGACCTGTTTTCCTGTTAACCTGTTTTCTATACGAGATCGCTGCAAAAAGTGCAGCCTTACCTAATGTCCACCCTACTGTTACTCATTTTACATTAAGATTTAACAGTCTAGTTGGTATTGGCATGGCGAGTAACCTTCAGTAATAGTAATAAATAGTATTCAGAATACGTTACTCTCATTAAGCAAAGTAACAGAATACGTTACAAAATACGTTTTGGGGCATGTACTCTGTAATCTGTAGTGGAATACATTTTAAAAGTAACCTTCCCAACACTGTGTGCCAGAAAATATTGGAGGGTTGTTTTTTTTTAATAAATGTGACCATACCATGAGAAATAAGGAACTTTAAATTTGGTGGTCATCAAGAAAACACAAAGATGAATATTCAGATAAATCAGATAGATGAAGGTATTATATCATACTTACAGAAACTTGGGATGTGTTGCCACAAAGAGATCAGGTTGTGAATTAAGACTGGAACTGGGAATTCAGAACCAAAAATTTTTTTGATGTCACCCGACATGGTATCATTGAGGTTACAACTGAGGAGGTGGCCTTCAAAAAACAGACAGTCCACAGTTAGGTGGACATTTGGGTTGTTCACCTGCCTCCGGCTTTCAGCTACAACATGGTGAGGATCAAAGGTGTGATGCATCACCACCAGTATTACTGGTTTGCCAGCTGTAAGTGAAGAGACAACAGGATCAAATGATTCAGAAACAAGAGTTTGGGCTTTTTGCCTGCACGTTAAATGTAGCCTTTCTGTTTACTTCCAATTTTGTATTTTATATTTATTTCCCACTTTACAGGCCAAATATTCTAAGTGAACGTAGCATGAGGCCATAATCACTAAAATCACTAAAAGGAGTAATGATATCCAAAACAACATATCAAAAGTAGGACAAATTAGTAGTTCAAAAATTAGCAGGGGGGTGCAATTAATGTGCTAAACAAACAACACATGGCAAATTGCTATTGTTGTTTTTTAAGTTATTAAACTTGCATTCTGTAAATTACCATGATATTCACATCTACAATGAGTGTACACAAATTTCACTTTCATCTTCACCCTACAGCAATAACTTCAATCAAAACTCAATGTGTCATGCATGCATGTATTATTTAGCATTTAGTTATTTAACATTTCTTACGAGTTATGTTGTGCAGGGCCTCGCCGATGTCTGTTCCAACTCGGGAAACGACAGGACAGAAGACTAGAAGATAGTCACATTCCGTTGCAGAGGTCACGTCTGTTTGTCCAATACTTTTGAGCATTTGAACAACTGGAAAATGGGCCCCATTTGTTTTTCCTGCTTCCCACACAAAGAATTTTTTCCATGACTCTAAAGTGAAACAAAAAGAAAAATTGGATCCTTGTTCAGATGTGACATAATTTTTAATGAGTTAATGTGTATCAACCATATAAACAGTGCTTAACAGTGCTAATCTAAATCCAGATATTTTGAAGAAGAACCAGATCGAATTCATGCATCTATATTCCTGTCTTCCCTAAAGAGCAGGGCAAAGGGCAGGGTACACACTGGACAGATCCCCAGTGTGTCGCAGGGCTAACATGTAGAGACAGGCAACCATCTGCACTCACCTATAGGCAACTTAGAGTTACCGATTAACGTATCCCGACTAACTGCATGCCTTTGGACTGTGGGAGGAAGGTGGAGTACCGAGAGAGAACCCACGCAAACACGGGGAGAAAGACCCCAGCCAGGAGTCAAACTCAGGACCTTCTTGCTATGAGGCAACAGTTCCAGAGTGTGCCACAGTGCTGGCCATAGTGAAAATCAAAATTTAAAATTAAAGTGGGATAATTCTAGTTTTTTATACCACCATTAGAATTTACTGTGAGTATCGTTGGTTTCCATTAATTCCTTGTTTAGCTGCAAACTGAAGCCTCCACCAGACCACCTGCTGTGGCTAAAATAATGCTTGCAACTTTATATCCTTTCAAGTGTAATTATTAAATAAAGCTTATTGTCTTTAATAGTGAAATATCTGACAACTTTAATTTTGAAAAGTAAAACTTAAAAAGTCTTGATGTATGCTCAATCATCCAGGTAAGTAAATCTCCAAAAGTTGATTCTGTTCATCTGGACGTAGCGTTTTCAGTGGGGGAAACGTTTCTCCCACTGAAAACGCTACGTCCAGATGAACAGAATCAACTTTTGGAGATAAAACTTAAAAATTCAAAAGCACCATATTTTCTCACCATGTCTTTGTACCATGTCTCTGAGGAGGGAGAAGAGAAAGGAGCCTTTAGTCAAAACAACAATGAATAATCATGGTCAGCAGTTTCACTTTCTGTTCACTTTTTAAAAAGCTAGGCTAACATTGGCCTAGAGAATATGTATATGTCTGGACCTGCTAGAGCTGTGAAGTTCACAGCTTCACATGGAACGATTTTGAGAAATTCACTTACACAATAGCTTGAGTATACAGTCTCTGGTATATCCTTCGAACACTGAAAAGGGAGTGACGTCCTTCCCTGTTTGTGAAGCACTTTCATTTTCGATTTTAAAGTAACTGCCCAAACAGGAACGTTAACTCTTTCAGTGTTTGAAAAAAATAAGATCAGAACACAGCAGTAGGGGAAGTGGGTTAACAGAGTGTAAAACTGTGGAATAAAGAAATGGGTCAGGTGAGAATTTAAAGGAAAAGCAATATAAACTGTAAACAGGTTGTGCTGGATTTTAGACAAGTTTTATTGTCCCTTGCCATTATTTTCCACGTGTTTGGAAAGAGGAAATTCATGCTTCAAAAATATGCTATCAAAAATAGATCCCCTCCTTTGGTGTTTTGATTGTTGTGGCAGGGAAAACTGTAAAACATGCTGGTCCAGTTGTGTTTAAATCTGATGACTATGCATCATAAGATATGATAATATAGATAAGATAACCTTTATTAGTCCAACACGTGGGAAATTTGATTTGTTACAGCAGAAAGTGGACAGTGTAAAGTTACATAGCAAAAATTTGAAGAAAAAAAACAAAACACTGGAATAAGATAAGATGATAAGAATAAGATACTGTACACAATAAAATAAATTAAAACACTATATACAACTGATTTGTATTCATCACAGATAATTTAAATATAATTAATAAAATTGCACAAAACAGCATCCTTACTTTCTGAGCTGTTACTAATCTGTTCAACTAAAACCTAAATCTTAACCAGAACATTATATCATACAGCAATACACAGGGGAAATGCTTTGCTTAAGAAGAAGCAAAAAGAGACTGTGAACTGGAAATATAGCCACATGTTGAACTTTAAAAAACTTTGATCTCATAGCACCTTTGGCTGAAACATTGGATACAAACTTCTCTTCAGAGAGGATTTCTTTCACACAAGTATTGGACAAGAGCAGCAAGTTATTCTTTTAGAACATTTTAGCATCTCAGATCTCACTGTCAAACTCACAACACGTTTTTTCAATGAACATGTAGCCCTGTGCATAAAGTTGCAGATCTCTTATCATTATATCATTTTCATTTTTTTATGATCCAGATTTAAAAAAAAAACATTCAGCTCAGTAACATCTAAATCATCCTTCGCACTACTTCCATAGTCACAGTTGCCACCATTATAATACACATTATAAAACCTACACCCAGTATCAGAGGGTCAGTGTAACCTACGGGGAGAAAAGAGCTTGTTATTTATAAGTTAAACATTTATAAGTTTGAAATTAGTTACTGAATATTAATGCCAATGTCCGTACAACTTTACTATGTGGAAAGCGACAAAAGCAATCTTTGATGAAATATACAAAAGCATTACAGTTATACTTACAACTGCATTTTCGCCACTTAGAAGTCTGAATGAGCTAAAGAATAAAACAAAGAGTTATAATCATGTTTGGGTTTACATTGAGGGTGGGGTTGTTTGTTTGCTTGTTATTAATAGTACCAAGCATGACTGTATGTATAGAAATTACCTGGTGAATGGAAACTCTGAAAAACTTCCCAATGTCACGCCACATGATATCATTGAAGCTGCAATCAAACAGTTTTCCCTTATAAACCAGACAATCCACAGTGAGGTGGACATTCTCGTTCTTCACCTGTCTCCAGCTTTCAGCTACAACATGCTCAAGATTGGAGATGTGATGCATCACCACCAGAATTACAGGTTTACCACCTGTAGGCAGAGAGACAACAGGATCAAATGATTCAGAAACAAGATTTTTTGGTCTTGGCCTGCACGTTAAATGAAGAAGAAAGAAGAACTACATGAATGTTCATCACAGGTTTTTTCAAATGTACTAGCAGCATTGACTGAATGAACCACAGTACTCCCTGTGACATTAGTCTGCTCACATTAACTGATACATACTGCAGGAATAGTTTTCCTATGTTGTTGTTTTTTATAGTTACTCTGATCATGATCTTAAGATTTTATGGAAAAGTGAGCAAGTTTGATTTAATACATGAAGATTGTCCATTCATTCGCTTTCTAATTACAAAAAAACAGTGCATGTCTTTTGACAAATGTGAATACAAAGGAAGTGGGCACCTAATGTTATACCTGTCACATGCAGATAGAATGCTCTATTTTTTGCTATGATATTTTTCAAATTTTCATATTTTTATATAATTATTTTGAATAGGTTCTCTAGAATTCTGATGGCAGTTGAAAAACTAGTGAATAAGGACTTCTTACGGGGAATCTTGTCCAGGGCCTCTGCAATGTCTGCTCCAACTTGTGAATTAACAGGACAGAAAATCAGAAGGTAGTCAGATTTTTCTGCGGAGGTCACTTCCATTTGATCGATACTTTTAAGCCTTTTAATAAAAGAATTATGAGCTTCATTTGTTTTTCCAGCCGAGATGACAAAGAATCTTTTCCACAACACTAAAGATAAATTAAAAAGAAGAAGAAGACAAGTGTGAAGCCACACATCTTACACACAATGAGCGATATTATACATTCTATATTTTGTGTTTAGCTTATTAGATGTGTTAATTACATTAGACTTTTGGCCTAGAGACCAGTCAGTGACACGCACACCCCAGTACCTTCTAGTTGCCAGTGGGGTCACTGACTGGTCACTAGAGCACCCTGAATGGAGCTTGAGCAATGGATTTCACAGAGACTGTCAGCAATCTCTATACTACAAGTGATCACATATCCAGTTCACCAGAAGCCAGGGTTTGGCCTCTATAGTTACTTCCTTTTTATCCTGTAACACCAAGTGTACCATATTATAAATGTGAGTTTTTAAAAGTTCTACATCATCAGTGTGACCCGTGTAGCTCAAAGTCATTGAAATAAGGGGGAAACTCCAATCACAATTATCTGCACACTCAGTTAATCATAAGATTTTTAAAAAAGCAGTTAGAAATGTTCTCTATCATAATTGCCAAGTGTAGCTTGTTCTCATTAATAATATTAACCTTTTTTCTTACCTTTTTGCTTTTCCATGTCCCTGAGAAAGGATAAACTGAAAGGAACCTTTAATCAGAATAATATAACAAAATTTAATACAATAACAAAACACAATATGTGTTGATATGCATCGCAGATTCCTCATAGCCACAGTTGCTTTGTATAAGATTTTCCTGGCCAAGAATACTACAAAATATCTTAGAGATGTATTACCTGCATTAGTCTGATGTAGCAAAGCAAATCAGCAGACAGTTACTGAGATTTGGAAACATTATTTCTTGATATGATTGCCACAAAAGAAGCACTATTAAATATACTATTATTAACAACCAATCACATTACAACAAGTCAGTGCATTTAGTCAGGTCGACATGGTGAAGATGACCTAAGCTAATCAGGATGGTGGAGAAAGGCGAATGAAGTGACTTTGAATGTGGCATGGTTGTTGGTGCCCGATAGGCTGGTCCGGGTTTTCTTTACACAGTCATCTCTGTGGTTTGCAGAGGATTTCACTTCCTATAAGCATGAAACTATGTTAAATGTAAGTGTCCTCACACACACACACACACACACGTACACCAGCACACACAAACACACACAGACCTTTCCTTCCTCGCTTTCTCTCCCTCACTGTCTGTTTGTGCCTGATGCTTTCCTTTTCCTCCTCTCAGCGTCTCTTTGCTGCACCACTTCTCTCCCAGTAGCTGTTGCACTTGTTCAGAGTTCCGCTTTAGATGAATAAAGAGGAAATACCGCTAGAGTGTGAGGCGGCGCTAGGGACATTATTACGGAAGTGCTTGCACTTGTGAAACTATCTGACAAATATTGCTGAAACTTTCACAAACACACCACTGAAACTCAAACAAACATTACTGAAACTTTCTAATACACACTACTGAAATTCCCACACACACACACACTGCTGAAACGCCCAAACACTGTTGGAAACCAAGAAGATTTCAGCTGAACAGGAAGTTAGCTTAGAAAAGAGCGTATTTTAAAACACGGCTAACAACATTCTGATGTCTACTTCACAGCCTTTAGCAACCTAACTGAAACAGCAGCATTATTTAACTATGCAGTCATTTGAAAAAGGACGTTTTCATAGTACTCCAGTTTTCAGTCTTCAGTTTCAGTTTTCAGTTTGTATTTGTCATATGCAAGTTAGCACACGGTCAACATTGCAATGAAATGTGTATGATGAGCAGCAGTCACTCAGCAGCATGATACAGTAGAAGAAAATATAATAAAATGAAATAAAATAATAAAGAAAATAGAAAAATAGTAAGGAGCAAACTATTAGAGAGACATGGTAAAAGAGAAAAGATGACTAAATATATATGTATCTATAAATATAAATATATGTACACTAGTGATTAAATAAGAAAATCTTGAAAAGAAATATGACGGGAGGTCAGATGGGATATTGCACAGGAATGAGCAGCAGAAGTACTCCAGTAAGTCCTGTGCCCTTTTAACCCTTTAACGCCTAGTGTATAACATTTGATACATACAGTTTTTTGCCAGTTTTTGGGACTTCAACATCATCAGTGTGATTTTTTCCCCCCTGAAAAACCTAAATAAACCTAAATAAACAAATTTTAAAAAACAAGCAAATGGGCAGATATGATACAAATTAAATGTCATATATGCAAATTGGAATGTGATTTATTTTTTAAATGATTACAAAAACAATAAACAAAAGAAGGTTAAATAAAGACCTTTTTTTTTAAAGGTTTTTCTGGCAATTATTTCATGATTTAGGCTTCAAAGTGTTCATTCCTATGGAAGCAGTAGTGGTGTACTTAAGTTGACACTATCAAATGCAAAAACCATCAGCCAACATATTGGACTGTCTCTCCAACAACTACTACAGTAAGGAGAGAATGGATACTAGATAATAGGCTGATATTTAGAATGGTACATAATGAATTGTTGAGTGATAGAAACAGCATTATTACCCTCCAGTGTTAACCACAGTCAGCTGCCACTCAACATGTTTTTGTTCTTTTCAGATCATTCTCCATAAACCCGACAACTTTTCGGTGGTAACTCTGGAAAGCAGTAAAATCAATATATCATCCAATAGAT